GTAATAATAATAATAATAATAATAATAATAATAATAATAATAATAATAATAATAATAATAACCAGTATTTATATAGCGCACATATCAAGAAACCCTCATGGCGCTTAACAACACTCGGGGGACTTTAGCCGGACTGCATCAAGCAGTTTACAATATCAATCAAAGGAAACTTATTTGAAGATGCCCCCCTCCCTCAAATCCCGGTAACAGGCCAGACCACATCACAGCAATCTCGTGGGTGGGTTCTTTAATGTCCTCTGCATAACGAAGTTAACTAATTAATAGATACAGGAGACTGGACCTACGGTTTATGCGTCCTTATCCGAAAAGACTAGGATGTCTATCCATTTCTTGATATTATAGAAAGGTAGCACGTTCTCCTCACTTATTTTAAGACCTTGAGTGTTGGTCCGGCCGGGGCTCAAACCCTCGATCTCCCACACAACAGTCCGATGCTCTAACCAATTGAGCTAACCGGGAGGCGGCTAAACAGAGAAGAAGCGCCGAAGGCTAGCTGTGCGTTATAAGTGGAGTAAGCTACTTTCACGCCATTAGTTTTCAGTGTCTTTTGCACTGCTGAGATCAGCATCACTTTGTTAAAGAGGTTCGCGAGGTTTTAGGAGATTCCATTTAGAACTGTCGGACATTGATTTGGATATCGAAAAAGGACATGTAAATATTCGTTAAGCCATTGAGAACGCTATTTCTGGGGAACTCTCCCCAGATCCAGGAATACTAGTTTGTTTTTTCTTCTTGTCTTTGATTTATCTTCGATCCATGGAATTAAAAGTAAGGGAAAGGGGCGTTTTAAATTGACAGCAGTTATAACAAATGATTAATAGATTTTTTTGTCATTAGTTTGTTTTTTAATAATTTTTTATTGTTTTGTGGAATTTTAGAAATGAAAATTGTTGTAATTAGTTATCAACAAGACAGTTTTCTATGTTGTACGTATTCAATTTTGAAAAAAGTACCCTTAAAAGTTGATTTTCCTGATGTAATCTTTCTTTTTAGTTTTAATTGGAAAAGTATTATACTGAACTATTATCTTTATTTACACAAACCCACAAGCTTCCCGCTTTAATCCCTATCGTGTCTAGATAAAGGTTTTACTTACTCACTTACTTACTAGGTATTCCTGAAGAAACCAGACAACGTCCGCAGTTGAGGTTACGAAAAGTCATTCGTAACTCAACGAAGATATTCAAACATGCCAAGAAGTATCTTGTCGATAATGATTCGAAAGACAAGGTTGAGATAGGGCACGACTTTGACGGAGAAGATGTAAGGATAATACCCTATTCAAAGAATGAAACAACCGAACTGGACGTTCTCCATACCACATTGCGTCAGCTTTTCAAAGAGGGATACAGCGAGAGAGATATCTCTGTATTATTTTTAAAGAATGATAGTATTCCCTCTGACGACATGCTTTCTGAGAAGTTGAATGGTTTATCTTGGAAGTCTGCAAAGGACAATGATTCCGAGAAAATTGTTATCAGCTCGGTTCTAAAGTACAGTGGTCTAGAAAGACCTGTCGTAGTACTCGTGAATGTACACAGGGGTCTACCTAGACGCCACACATATTCTTTTCTATACGGTGCAGTGACTCGTGCCATGGTAAAACTCATCATTATAAGGTGCCGAGAAAGTTGAATTTGTCGTATCACTAAATTATTAGTGGACGGAACATTGTGTGAAATGTTGTATCATTGGTTTTTTTTTTTTTTTTCAAAAGTTTCAAAAGATATTCTGTGGAACATTGACATTGTACATGTAACGGCCTAACTTGAATGTCTGATCGGCATTTGTGCCAAGTCTAGAAGAAACCGTGTGCAAGCACAGAAGGAATCTCTGCTAATTACTTTTTAGGTGTCTACGTCGCTCTGATTAAGAGCTGACGCTCGAAACGTCAGCTTTGACACCCTTAACGGTGGCCAATTTACATTAGGGACCTTAAGCAGTCAGGACGGCAACGCCATGGAAGACGTCGATTAAAAAATGAATTTCTACTTTTAATTAGTAGTTCGAAAATGGCTGCATGTGTTTACTATCTCATACATCGCCACAACTCAACCTCG